TTGAGAGACAAGAAACGAGAGAGTTGGGATCGTTTAAGAATCTTTAATTTCTATAATTATACATTCTTACAATCTACCAGGACTATCTCAATGATGAATGCATATGGATTTGGATGTTTCGTGTTGGTGTGTGTGTGTGTGTGTGTGTGTGTGTGTGTGTGTGTGTGTGTGTGTGTGTGTGTGTGTTCAGGATCTCTAGGCTGACGTAGGCGGATCTGGTTGTTATGACTAGGCTACCACGAGGCTTCAGAAGCTGATGACATGAGCCGCCATTTTGCCGTATTTACGTACCCAGTGGAGCCTCCCGTGTTAGATCAGGCATTGCCAGGTCCTCGGACCTTCAGATGTACTGGAGCTGGTTGAAACAGCGGTCACAGCACACAACGCCCGTCTGAAGGGTCGACTCAGGTAGCATCGGCAGGCGTCAGCAAGTTCACTCTTATTTTGAAGGAACGTCGTCTTGTTGGTTCAAACGACGGAAATCTCCAGCTTGACCGTTCTCAGCTTAAAGTAGGAAGTACAGCTGGCCAGCCTGTACTTCTCTTTTGGCGGTGATGGATTGAGAGCTGGTTGAAAACAATGTTGAGAGTATGATGTAACTCCTTTGTAGCTCGGATCGAACAGAGCTGAGGTTAAAATGGAACTGAGTATAAAATGGCGTTGCCTTGTTTTATATCTCCCAGTTGTTTATAAATCTTAGTAAACCGGATTGGACAAATTAAGTAAACAAGCCAGATTCTGCCTACGACAGACGAAAGCTCTGATTGGTTGAAAACAATGTGTCATGCGTTTCCATGGTAATGTAGATCAGTCTGTCTGGTGCAGTCCTGTTTATTCATTAAACACATAACTCATGACATCTTTATTTCACAGATCATTCACCTGATTATTAATGATCAACATATGCTCTGATTAGCTTATCACGAATAAAGTACTTTAATTAAAGGAAAGCGTTCTTCTGTCTCTTCTCCTGGAATGTAAACATACTGAACCAAGCGTCCGACCTTGGCGATGTTACTGTGTGAAGGGGCAGCTGTTAAGGGCAGACAATTATAATCTTCATAACGCTACAATATTTAAAGCTCAGTTTGCTCCACTGGTTTACTGTGATGCTCACCTGTTCCAGCCAGATACCTGCATCATGGGGTTGATCTGAGCTGAGGAGGAGAGTCCTGTTGTTTTGTTCATCTTCATCATAATAATGGCAACATTAGATGACAACAGGTGCTCACATAGGTTTGTGCTGCTGAACATGTCTGAGCAGCTTGACCAGTTGTTGTGTGTCGGGGAGGAAACACAACGACAGCAACCACAGAGTCGTGCTGATTTGACAACACATTCTCACACCCCAAGTGTCAAAATGTGACGCGTGTGACCAAGCCTCAATGTATGACGATTTGGGATGCCCCAGCGCGTCAGGAGACAACGATCAGGTACACACTGATGACGCAGCGTCCCAGAGCGTCGGTATCCGACGGCGGTAGTGAGACGGACATTAGAACGACTTGTGAACTACTTAACCGTCCCTTCACCCCAATCCTAACATTAAGGTCACAGTTACTGACCTTACGGTTAGGATTGGGGTGAGGGGACGGTTAAATAGTCGAATAATGTCCGTGTGACCGCGGGCGTCAAACACTGACGCCAGCGGAGCCACGCGTCCCTGATCGTCGTCTCCTGACGCGCTGGGGCATCCCAAATCGTCATATATTGAGGCTTGGTCACACGCGTCACATTTTGACACTTTGGGTGTGAGAATGTGTTGGATTTGGGCGTGTCGCTGCTCGCTGGAGTTATATCAGCTCTGTCTGGAAGTTAGTTGGAAAACTTTCTCTTTCGGTCGTGAACACATCACTGAGCGGTTAAAATCTTTGTTTCTGGGCTTCAACGTCAGCAAATAGCTGAGTAAACTTGACGCTGAGTGAGAGGAGTGTTTAGTTTGTCCGAGACAGTAGTGATGTGTCGGTCGCGAACGAACCGGCTCTAAGAGCCGGCTCTTTGAAGTGAACGACGGGAGCCGGCTCGTCATTGGGAGCCGCCCCCTCCCCTCTTGCTTTGGTGAACGCTACAGGCGATTGGTCAACATGTGTAACTGTGTGTCCAGACTGTCCACACACAGAGCAGTAGGGGCGGGGAACAGGGAGGATCAGACTCAGGCACACAGCAGAGCACATACGGGAGGAGGGAGACGAGAGGGAATGAAGATGAGGAAACAGGCGAGCGAGAGAGGAGAGTGTGACGAAGACAGTGAGAAAATGAGCGCCAGCAGTCAGAAAGTGGAGATTTCTTAAAGTGTTCAGTTATTAAATCCATAGAAATGATGAATATTTGATACATTGCATTTTTTACATTAGTAAATCATTTTACACATAGTTTTGTATTATTTTGGTTATAAATGTACTCTACGCAACAGAAAATCTGAGGAGCCACTTGGGAGCCGAAAGAGCCGGCTCTTTTTGGTGAGCTGAGCCAAAAGAACCGGCTCTCTAAAAAGAGCCGGAATTCCAATCACTAGGAGACAGCGGAGCTGCACACCGGCAGCAGACGCTGGAAAAAACACAAAGGAGGGGGCACATCGGCTCCAGCTAACGTTGCAAAGCATCATGGGAGTTGTAGTCTTTGCTGTAAAATCAGCCAGCGGGTCAATTTTAATATATGTTTTATATTTATCTCGCGGGCCACATAAAAATGCTCCGCGGGACCTTGTGTCCGTTACATGTGAGCTAGACTATACTGCACCTGTGATGAATGCACCAGTTAGTGGCGTCTATACTGCTTAGGTACATTTCTGTTAATCACACTGGTCCTGTCACCCAGATTAGATCAGCCCATAGATAAAAGTATTTATGTAGAAGTAATTATGTTGTTAAAATATGAGGAAGTTTTGTGACAGGTGCAATTTTTTTTTTTTAAAACAGCTTCCTCTCATCTACTGAATACTTCTGATTTCAGGAAAGTGTTCTGAGAACACAAACGGTGAAAGCAGCTTTCTGATGAGATTTGCAGAAAAAGACAGATCTGGAAACGACAAGACAACTAATATATCACAGGGAAGTTTTCAGAGTCTGGGAAAGCCATCTAGCATCTTAAAATAATTATTGAACTTTCTACAATGAACTGTTTATTAAAGAGACAATTTGGCATTATGGTAAAATTTCATAAATAAATAAATTGTACTACTTGAAAGACTTTCGGGAGATGTTTGCTGGATGGAAATGACAATAGAAAAATACGTATTTTTTGTTTGTGACATCAGGATGATTTCGAACTACAAGTGCATTCATACATCTGAAAAATTTGCTTTGTTAGTTTAACTGCATAAAGATGGTTTGCAGTAGTCAGCTGACTTTCACAGAAAACATTTGATTGTTTCAGCCAGCTCTTATGTGACATAAATGTTCTATTTTGCAGGGAAAGCACCACAGAAAATATGATTTCCTTTGCATTTGTATCGCATCATAAAATCGCCTAAAGCTTTTAAAGCTGGTGACACTCATTCAACTCCTTCATTTCACTTCTTATGCAGGGAGGATAACTCCCTGATAATTACAGAATCTACTCTTAAAAAAGCAGCCGCCCTTTATTTTTACTACACATATTATAATGAGGTGGGGACAACAAAGATATGACTGTGGCAAATCAACTTCCTATCATTTCAATAACTACATCAAGGAAAAGTCATGAAACGTCACACGGCAACTCACCACCTTCAAACGTTTCTGTGAATGATTCAGCTCAGCGTCAAACGTTCTTGTCGATAATGAAAGGCATTAAAGGCATGGCCCTGCCAGACCCGCCACACGGGAGTTGCTGTTCTAGTCACAACTAAAAGCCCAGACACTCATCTTGGACTGAGCAAACCGGTGCCTTAAAATAGCCGCCGGATTAAAAACAATCAGGGGAGCAGATGCCAAAGAGCTGACCACGTCTACGAGTTTGACTCCAGCCAAACATTAACAAAACCAATTAGGCCTGCAGGCTCATCCAGGTGGGGTTAGACTCTAAAACAAACAACTAGAGGTTAATATATTTCTACATGTGCATGAGATTATTAATCGCTAACTAAAAACAGCAGACTTTTGTGTGCATTTGTGCTGCAGAGCCCTGCAGTAGAAATAGTTTCTGATTAACAGGAGCAGCAATGTTTCTGTGAATCAAAGTAGGGCAAAACTAATTAGGCTGTTGCACCACTGCATAGGGAGAAAAAGGGGGACGGGGGAAGGCCCGGGGGGGGGGGGGGGGGGGGGGGGGACAGTAATGAGGTCACAACCTCCCTGTCCTCCTCTTTGCAGTTTGCAATGCTCCATTTTACAAAGCAGGTTCCCTGAGAACGTGTGTGATGGTTGTGTTCAGACTGAAGCTGCTCGCTTCTGCCTTCAGGAAGTAGCTCCATGTTTGCTGCAAAGCCGGACCACTCTTGATTGGGCCGGCCTCCTGAACAGTTAGGGTTAGGGACTTTTACAGCCTCCTGGTTGTTAACTGAAACATGTGCTGCCCAGCATTTACGTCAGAAAGCTGTTTTTGTGTACTTTCACTCAGAGAAACCACCTAATCAAGATGGAGCCTGTTGCCAGGTCACACCAGCAGCTGATTCCATCTCTATGGAAGCCAAGTGTGACAAAATATAAACAAAGAAGCATCCTGCACTTCCTTCACCAGACTAAACATCCTTAAAAAGTAAAAAAAGGGAAATTTAACACGCGTTTCACCTTAAATCAGTTTACTTTATATGCAACGCTTTTGATAGCATGAAAATCACCTGAAATGTCATTTGATTTAAATTACTAGAGTCATATGATTTGAAGAGGCTTTTTAATGCATTTTTCCAGAATAAACCGCTTTTATGTGAAGCGAAGGAAAAAAAGTGTTCGTGAACGCATCGTTCTGCAAACGGAGTTCGGCGCGTCTTCTGCAGACAAACCCAACTTTGTCAGAGCAAACAGCAGCCATCGTTGCGTTTTACAGTGTTTCTACTCAACGGAGTCAGATGATGGACTCACCCAAAGTTCTGTGCCCCAGTCCATGTTCAGCCGGAATACAAAGAACTTCTCCAAAGTTATCCCGACAGCTCGGAGGGCGGCCCTGGCGGATCCAATCCCGACCCGTTAAAGTTCACGGTTAACCACGGAGCTCTCCGGTCACGGCTTCTTCAACAGCTCAAGCGAACCGGCTTCATAATTACCTCGTCTGCTGGAGCTGGCAGCCGCTGGCCGAGTTAACCTAAATAGTTTTCATAGCGAAGGAAACAGGGACGACTAGCTCTTTATCCGCGTCACTCCCAAATCCTAAGTCTTAAAGGGACCGCGCTCACCAAAGAACATTGGGTTCCGTCTGGGTTCTGCTGGTTCTGGTTGTGTCTGGGTTCTGTCTGAATTTGTTTTGGTTCTGTCTGGGTTCTGCTGGTCCTGTCTGGGTTGAGCTGGTTCTGTCTGAGTATTGTCTGGGTTCTGCTGGTCCTGTCTGGGTTCTGAGTTCTGTCTGGGTTCTACCTGAGTTCTGCTGGTTGTGTCTGGGTTCTACCTGAGTTCTGCTGGTTGTGTCTGAGTTCTATCTGGGTTCTACCTGAGTTCTGCTGGTTGTGTCTGAGTTCTATCTGGGTTCTACCTGAGTTCTGCTGGTTGTGTCTGGGTTCTACCTGAGTTCTGCTGGTTGTGTCTGAGTTCTATCTGGGTTCTACCTGAGTTCTGCTGGTTGTGTCTGGGTTCTACCTGAGTTCTGCTGGTTGTGTCTGAGTTCTATCTGGGTTCTACCTGAGTTCTGCTGGTTGTGTCTGAGTTCTATCTGGGTTCTACCTGAGTTCTGCTGGTTGTGTCTGAGTTCTATCTGAGTTCTACCTGAGTTCTGCTGGTTGTGTCTGAGTTCTATCTGGGTTCTACCTGAGTTCTGCTGGTTGTGTCTGAGTTCTATCTGAGTTCTACCTGAGTTCTGCTGGTTGTGTCTGAGTTCTATCTGAGTTCTACCTGAGTTCTGCTGGTTGTGTCTGAGTTCTATCTGAGTTCTACCTGAGTTCTGCTGGTTGTGTCTGAGTTCTATCTGGGTTCTACCTGAGTTCTGCTGGTTGTGTCTGAGTTCTATCTGGGTTCTACCTGAGTTCTGCTGGTTGTGTCTGGGTTCTACCTGAGTTCTTCTGGTTGAGTCTGAGTTCTATCTGGGTTCTACCTGAGTTCTGCTGGTTGTGTCTGAGTTCTATCTGGGTTCTACCTGAGTTCTGCTGGTTGTGTCTGAGTTCTATCTGGGTTCTACCTGAGTTCTGCTGGTTGTGTCTGAGTTCTATCTGAGTTCTACCTGAGTTCTGCTGGTTGTGTCTGAGTTCTATCTGGGTTCTACCTGAGTTCTGCTGGTTGTGTCTGAGTTCTATCTGGGTTCTACCTGAGTTCTGCTGGTTGTGTCTGAGTTCTATCTGGGTTCTACCTGAGTTCTGCTGGTTGTGTCTGAGTTCTATCTGGGTTCTACCTGAGTTCTGCTGGTTGTGTCTGAGTTCTATCTGGGTTCTACCTGAGTTCTGCTGGTTGTGTCTGAGTTCTATCTGAGTTCTACCTGAGGTCTGCTGGTTGTATCTGAGTTCTGTCTGGGTTTTGCTGGTCCTGTCTGGGTTCTGTCCGAGTTCTGCTAGTTTTGTCTTAGTTCTGTCTGGATTTTGCTGGATTGGCTGAGTTCTGCTGGTTCTGTCTGAGTTCTATCTGGGTTCTACCTGAGTTCTGCTGGTTGTGTCTGAGTTCTATCTGGGTTCTACCTGAGTTTTGCTGGTTGTGTCTGAGTTCTATCTGAGTTCTACCTGAGTTCTGCTGGTTGAGTCTGAGTTCTATCTGGGTTCTACCTGAGTTCTGCTGGTTGTGTCTGAGTTCTATCTGGGTTCTACCTGAGTTCTGCTGGTTGTGTCTGAGTTCTATCTGGGTTCTACCTGAGTTCTGCTGGTTGTGTCTGAGTTCTATCTGAGTTCTTTCTGGGTTCTGCTGGTTGTGCCTGAGTTCTGTGCTTGAGTTCTGCTGGTTCTGTCTGAGTTCTTTCTGGGTTCTGCTGGTTGTGCCTGAGTTCTGTGCTTAAGTTCTGTCTGGATTTTGCTGGTTGTGCCTGAGTTCTGTCTGGGTTCTGCCTGAGTTCTATCTGGGTTCTACCTGAGTTCTGCTGGTTGTGTCTGGGTTCTACCTGAGTTCTGCTGGTTGTGTCTGAGTTCTATCTGAGTTCTACCTGAGTTCTGCTGGTTGTGTCTGAGTTCTATCTGGGTTCTACCTGAGTTCTGCTGGTTGTGTCTGAGTTCTATCTGGGTTCTACCTGAGTTCTGCTGGTTGTGTCTGAGTTCTATCTGAGTTCTACCTGAGTTCTGCTGGTTGTGTCTGAGTTCTATCTGGGTTCTACCTGAGTTCTGCTGGTTGTGTCTGAGTTCTATCTGAGTTCTGCTGGTTGTGTCTGAGTTCTATCTGGGTTCTACCTGAGTTCTGCTGGTTGTGTCTGAGTTCTATCTGGGTTCTACCTGAGTTCTGCTGGTTGTGTCTGGGTTCTACCTGAGTTCTACCTGAGTTCTGCTGGTTGTGTCTGAGTTCTATCTGAGTTCTACCTGAGTTCTGCTGGTTGTATCTGAGTTCTGTCTGGGTTTTGCTGGTCCTGTCTGGGTTCTGTCCGAGTTCTGCTAGTTTTGTCTTAGTTCTGTCTGGATTTTGCTGGTTTTGGCTGAGTTCTTTCTGGGTTCTGCTGGTTGTGCCTGAGTTCTGTGCTTGAGTTCTGCTGGTTCTGTCTGAGTTCTTTCTGGGTTCTGCTGGTTGTGCCTGAGTTCTGTGCTTGAGTTCTGTCTGGATTTTGCTGGTTGTGCCTGAGTTCTGTCTGGGTTCTGCCTGAGTTCTGCTGGTTGTGCCTGAGTTCTGTCTGGGTTCTGCCTGAGTTCTGCTGGTTCTGCCTGAGTTCTTGACATCAAAGATCGACAAAATAACAATGGCACAGACTTATGACCCCAAATATTGACTGAACCAAACAGACATTGCAAACATTCTATTCATGTTATAGCCTACTGGTCATTGTGACTGTTGATTGTAGTTTTTTTAACCCTCTCAGGCTCAAAATAAGTTTTGATACAAGGACAAACAACTAAGTCCTTCAGGGGTACTTCTGAGTTTAAAAAATACTCATGAGATACGCATGTGGAGTAACCAGGTAGGTAGGTTTTAACTGTTGCAAATCTGCAACGCCTGCCTCCAGAGGGTTGAACAACTTTAGGGAAATTTTTAGACTACTTAAAGTTTTGAGACCAGAATTTATGTCCTGGCTAGAGATGCATCGATTCTAGTCTTGAGGGAAAACATTCTGATTTTTGCACCGTTCTGACCTGATACCGATTTTGACAGATGTTATCCCAAAGAACTACATTAAACAAACCATTTTTCTTGATCAACTTGAAAAGTTTATTTTTCTGCAAATAAAAAAAATTACATGGAAGATCTGCTTTTGCCACAGAGCAAATCCGTGCTTATCAATGCTGAGTTCACTGTGCAGAAAAAAGGTTACTCCAGTTTATTAATTTATATTAATGAACCCTAAATTTAAGTATCTATCTATCTATCATCTATCTATCTGTCTGTCTGTCTGTCCGTGACTCTGCTCAAGAATTTTCTAGCTCTGGAGGATCCCGACATTTTATTTTATTTTATTTTATTTTGTAAAATATACCATCTATTGTCTCACACGCTTATAAGCTTGTGATGTTAACTCATTTAGACTTTCATATAACAGTAAAGTAATCCATGGTCAGAAACATAATTATTGAGCTAAATGTTATTTCATAATTAAAATCATCCATCAGTGACCTCTTTAATTGTTTTCTTCAGTCCAGTAACTTCAATTATGTGTTGTGATTCAAGGTCCGTCGTCTCTATACTTTCAGTGAATGAGAAGGCAACAGTATTAATATGGTTTCAATATAAATAAAAAGAGTGGATGCAAATAAAAAGAAACAATTGGAATCCCAAAGAGTGGATATACTGAAACAAAATAAAAGGACAGCTGAGTGTGCAACTTTCCACTCGTCTTCTTCCCACAACAAAGATATTTTACACAGAACATTTTTTACAATCTCTGTTTTTCTAAATGTAAGTTTACAAGTTGTTCTGGTTTCCTTCTTGGGATTTCCCTGCTGCTGAGCCAGTCATAGGGATGGAGGATTTATCTGAGTCTGAAACAAAAGAATACTCTCCTTTTTTCTTCCTGCGATGGCAGAGGCAATATAAACCCACCAGTAAAATAATTACCAGTAGGAGAATAGGCAGCCAGTAAACGAAGACGCTGCTGGTTTTACCTGTTAGACAAACACACAAATAACACATTCAACCAATAAGTCACATCATTTAATTTGTTCTTCTGTTGCACGCTGTGTAACTTCAGCTGAAATGCTCTGCAGAGTGTGTATTCATACCTCTCATCACCAGTGTGACCGTTCTTGTCACATTCCCAACTTTATTCGTGGCAACACAGATGTAAAAACCAGCGTTGGTAGACGTGGCTGCTGTGACTGTGATGATCTTCTGACGCCCCTCAGTGGTTTCCTTCAGGTTGTGTGCAGGCTTGTAGATCCATTTAATCTCGGGGTCGGGGTTGCCCTCAGCGCTACAGTCTAAAGTTACATCTCTGTCTGGAGTCAGCTCTTTGCTGATGTTTCCCTCTTTGAACTCAGGAGCGTCTATTGAAAAGTGGTAATAATTATTTTGACAAAATTTTAACAATTTGTTTGATTTTAAATGATTAGCATTTAATCCCATTGATTTAACAAGGCAGATTCTGTAAACTGAATTTATTTTCAGCATCTATGAGCTCATGTTTGCTAGTCTTGACAACTGGGCTACCTAAAAATTAAGAGTAGAACAGAATCACTGAAATTTACCAGCTTGTGTGTGAAAACACAGAACGTTGTTGGGGACACTTACAGAGTACAGTGGCAACAAAAGGTGCTGAGGCTGCAGTGGGAGGGAGCTCTGGTCCTCTTGGCCCAAGGTGCAGCTCAGCCTTACATCTGAAAAGGGATCTGTGATCACTTCTCAGGGGAGTGATGGTCAGGCTGGAGGTTACGTTGCGTGGCGTCACATCGTAGGTTGTGATGTGGTCTGTATACAGGGTTGTGTTGTCACGGTACCACTTCACGCTGAGGTTGTGTGCAGGAGCCACGTTGTAGATGTCACACTTTAAGCGGTACGTTGAACCCGCTTCCATCGGGCCATCCTCCAGTGCGGAGACTGAGACTAAATCTGGAGTCTCTGTTGGGGGAAGAAATGTTTATCGTTTAAATTCAGTTTAATTCAGTTTTACACCAACACTAGGATACTGCAGCAATGTTGTAACGTGCTCTAAGGAAATTAGATGCATATAAATGCCCTGCAAGTCATAGATTTAATTGAAAAAAAAGTACTGTTGTAAATGTTCTGGTAAATAATCCATTTGGCGTTATAGGACCACGTTGGTACTCACGATAAAGAATGATGGAAGCAGTTTCTATGCACGGACTTCCAATATCTGGATAAACGTAGCAAATAGGCTGCAACGTCCAGTCTTCCAGCTTGTCAATCTTCCAAAATGCGTAAGAGTTGTTCACAGTAGCTTTGCCAGCTGAATACTCCCATCCCATTCTGAATGTGGTTGTGGCAGCCGTGCTGCAGTTAATCACAACTGGATCTCCAAATTTCACAACAACCTCAGGGGGCGTCACTGTTATGCTGCAGCCTGTCGGTCACAAAGACGTCATCGATAAGATGAGATTTGGTGCTCAAAAATTCATTATCAGCAGAATATAGAAGGAATGTTGGCTGTAAAGAAAACATGGCTGAGCACCTTGTGGTGTCAGAGCCTGAGGAGAGGCCATGGCTGCTGGAGCTGCTGTTGTGATTACTTCGGGCACGTCAACAGAAACGTTCACCGTCACATTTCCATGTTTATTGGAGGCTGTGCAGCTGTATGTGGCACTTTTGTTAACGTTAATAATTTTCAGAGTATCTGAGGTTTCCAGTGCATCAATTCCATTAATGGTCCATTGGTACTTAGGAGGAGGAATCCCATCTGCTTCACAGGTCAGACTGACATCTTCACCCTCATTTACAATGATGTGTCTACTCTGGTTTGTCCTGAACTCAGGAGCATCTGAGGGAAAAAATACAGATCAAGACTTTTAATTTATTCATCTTCTGACAGAAAATGACCCTAAATTAGGTCATTTTCACTGTAAATTTAAAATTTAAAACAAAACACTGTGAACAGACAAGATGTTGACTCACAGAGAGCTGAGAGATTGAGTGTCTGGGAAACGACAGGATGTTGAGGTCCGTGTGGTCCTAGCTCCAGCTGAGCTTCACATCTAACCTCAACAGCATTCTCATCTCTGGTGACATTGACCACCAGCATGCTGGATGTGTTCACAGGTGTTCTGGCTGGTTCATGGACCGACTTTATGATTACATCGTTCTTGTACCACTTGACCAAGATGTTTTCAGCAGGAGTGGCACCGACCACCACGCACTGCAGTAGGTAACGGCTCACAATACCCTGAACATCAGTGCTTATTATGGAGAAGAGGACTTCTGGGATTTCTATAAAACAGAATAAACAAAAACACATTACCCAACATGTACTGTGAAAAAGTATCAGGTCATCCTTCCTTCCTGGCAAATGGCTTTCAATGAATTACATTTCTAGTAACCTCTCAAAGTGCTCTTGAGCAAAATTCTGCTTCCTGATGGGTTGCCATTATTATTTTCTGTGCACATATTCAGTAGAATAAAGGTGGTGAAAGATTACACAATTTTCTCATCTGAAAAAGTATCTACAAATAATTTCTAATGATCTTTTGGTTTAAAACTTGGTCCGAGGTCTAACAGATGAATGGTGCATTTAGGGTTAACACTGGATTTATTATATTCCTCTCCCTGGGCTGCCACCTTACCATGGTGGAGGGGTTTGAGTGTCCCAATGATCCTAGGAGCTAAGATGCCTGAGGCTTTAAGCCTCTGGTAGGGTCACCCATGGCAAACAGGTCCCAGGTGAGGGATCAGACAAAGAGCAGCCCGAAGACCTCTTATGATGAATAATATAAATGGAAACCGTGTTCCCTCGCCCGGACGTGGGTAACCGGTGCCCCCCTCTGGAGCCTGGTCTGGAGGTGGGGCACATTGGCGAGCACCTGATGGCTGGGCTTTCACCCATGGAACCCGGCCGGGCACAGCCCGAAGAGGAAACGTGGGTCCCCCTTCCCATGGGTTCACCACTCGTGGGAGGGGTAAAAGGGGTGCAGTGTGTGACGGGTGGTAGTCAAGGGGGGCGGGGACCTTGGCGGTCTGATCCTCGGCTACAGAAGCTGGCTCTTGGCACATGGAATGTCACCTCTCTGGTGGGGAAGGAGCCTGAGTTGGTGTGTGAGGTTGAGAGGTTCCGACTGGATATATTCGGACTCACCTCAACGCATGGCTCTGGCTCTGGAACCGGTTTCCCTGAGAGGGGTTGAACTTTCTACCACTCTGGAGTTGCTCCCACTGAGAGGCACCGAGCAGGGGTGGGCATACTAGTTGCCCCCCATCTTGGTGCCTGTACGTTGGGGTTTACCTCAGTGAATGAGAGGGTAGCCTCCCTCCGCCTACGTGTGGGGGAACAGATCCTGACTGTGGTCTGTGCTCATGCACCAAACTACAGTTCAGACTTCCCACCCTTTTTGGAGACCATGGAGGGGGTGCCAGAGAACACTCCTTCTGGTGACTCCCTCTTTCTGCTGGGGGACTTTAACGTGGGCAACGACAGTGAGACCTGGAGAGGTGTGGTTGGGAGGAACACCCCCCCCCCCCCCCCCCCCATCAGAATTTGAGCTGTGTTTTGTTATTGAACTTCTGTGCCAGTCATGGATTGTCCATAATGAACACCATGTTCAGACATAAAGGTGTCGATATGTGCTCTTGGCACCAGGATACCTTAGGCCGCAGCTCGATTATCGACTTTGTTGTTGTTTCATCTGACCTGCGGCCACATGTCTTGGACACTCGGGTGAGGAGAGGGGTGGAGCTGTCAACTGACCACTACCTGGTGGTGAGTTGGCTCAGATGGTGGGGAAGGATGCCGGTCAGACCAGGCAGGCCTAAACGTATTGTGAAGGTCTGCTGGGAAAGTCTGGTGGAGTCTCCTGTCAGAAGGAGCTTCAATTCCCACCTCTGACAGAACTTCCAAAATGTTCCGGGGGAGGCGGGGGACATTGAGTCTGAATGGACCCTTTCCCGTGCCTCCATTGTTGAGGTGGCCGATCAGAGCTGTGGCCGCAGGATCATCTGTGCCTGTCGTGGTGGCAACCTCTGAACCCGCTGGTGGACACCGGCGGTTAGGGATGCTGTCAAGTTGAAGAAAGAGTCCTATCAGGTCTTTTTGGCCTGTGGGACTCCAAAGGCAGCTGACGGGTACCGGCAGTCCAAGCAGAATGTGGCTCGGGTGGTCGCCGAGGCAAAAACCCGGGCATGGGAGGAGTTCGGTGAGACCATGGAGCAAGACATCCGTACGGCTTCAAGGAGATTCTGGTCCACCATTGGGGGGGGGGCAGTGCGCTACCCACACTATCTATTTTGGAGAAGGTAAGCTGCTGACCTCTACTCAGGACGTTGTGGATCAGTAGGCAGAATACTTCGAAGACCTCCTCAATCCCACCGACACGTCTTCTAGTGAGGAAGCAGAGTCTGGGGTCTTTGGGTTGACCTCTCAAATCTCTGTGCTGGGGTCACTGAGGTGGTTAAAAAGCTCCTCTGTGGCAAGGCTCCAGGGGTGGATGAGATCCGCTCTGAGTTCCTTAAGGCTCTGAATGTTGTGAGGGCTGTGCTGGCTGACGCGGCTCTGCAACATCTCGTGGACATCAGGGGCAGTCCCTCTGGACTGGCAGACCGGGGTGGTGGTCCCCTTATTTAAAAAGGGGGACCACAGTGTGTGTTCCAACTACAGGGGGATCACACTCCTGAGCCTTCCTGGTAAGGTCTATTCAGGGGTTCTGGAGAGGAGGGTCTGTCGGATTGTTGAACCTCAGATTCAGGAGGAGCAACGTGGTTTTTGTCCTGGGCGTGGAACACTGGACCAGCTCTATACCCTTAGGGGGATCCTGGAGGGAGCGTGGGAGTTTGCCCAACCAGTCCACATGTGTTTTGTGGATTTGGAGAAGGTGTTTGACCGCGTCCCTCGGGGGGCCCTGTGGGGGGGTACTCCGGGAGCATGGGGTACCAGGCCCTCTGATACGGGCCGTTAGGTCCCTGTATGACCGGTGTCAGAGCTTGGTCCGCATTGCCGGCAGTAAGTCGGGCTCGTTCCCAGTGAGAGTTGGACTCCGCCAAGGCTGCCCTTTGTCACGATTCTGTTCATAACCTTTATGGGCAGGATTTCTAGATGCAGCCAAGGTGTGGAGGGCATCCTTTTTGGTGGCCTGAGGATCAGGTCTGTGCTTTTTTTCAGACAATGTGGTCCTGCTGGCTTCATCAGAACGTGATCTTCAGCTTTCGCTGGAGCAGTTTGCAACCGAGTGTGAAGCAGCTGGGATGAGAATCAGCTCCTTTAAATGTGAGACCATGGTCTTGATTCAGAAAAGGGTAGAATGCCTTCTCCGGGTCAGGGATGAGGTCCTGCCCCAAGTGGAGGAGTTTAAGTATCTTGGGGTCTTGTTCACGAGTGAGGGAAAACTGGAGCGTGATTTCGATAGGCGGATTGGTGCTGCATCTGCAGTGATGCGGGCGTTGTACCGGCCTGTCGTGGTGAAGAGAGAGCTGAGTCAGAAGGCAAAGCTCTCGATTTACTGGTCGATCTACGTTTCTACCCTCACCTATGGTCATGAGCTTTGGGTAGTGACCGAACGAATGAGATCGTGGATACAAGCGGCCAAAAAGAGTTTTCTCCGCAGAGTGGCTGGGCTCTCCCTTAGAAATAAGGTGAGAAGCTCAGCCATCCGGGAGGGGCTCGGAGTAGATTCGCTGCTCCTCCACATCGAGAGGAGCCAGTTGAGGTGGCTCGGGCATCTGGTCAGGATGCCTCCTGGGCGCCTCCCTGGTGAGGTTTTCCGGGCACGTCCAACCTGGAGGAGGCCTACAGGAAGGCCCAGGACATGGTGGAGGGACTATGTCTCTCACCTGGCCAGGGAACGCCTTGGGATTTCCCCGGAGGAACTGGTCCAAGTGGGTGGGGAGAGGGAAGTCTGGGCCTCTCGACTTAGGCTACTGCCCCTGCGATCCGAATCCCGATAAGCGGATTAAAATGGATGAATGGATGGACTGGATTTATTTTCCTATGTCTTAAAGATGTTATTCAAGTATTGTTCATCTGCTGTCAATAGCATGTTGCAGATTCAGACTATCATGAGTCCTATACTTGGGCATTTTACAAATCTTTTAGTAACACTGCCCACTGAGTTTTCAAGGACTTGACTAAGATCAGAGAAAAAAGCCAAAGAAAACGTTTTTGAAAGATCTTCAGAAATCTAAAGAACCATTGTGCATGACCCCTATAAAAGAAATAAAGACGTCAATTTCCTTTGGAACAGCATAATTATATTAGTGTGATTAAAAACACCTGGGAAGTTCTGTAAGTGAGTACCTTGTGGTGTCAGAGCCTGAGGAGAGGCCATGGCTGCTGGAGCTGCTGTTGTGGTTACTTCAGGCACGTCAACAGAAACGTTCACCGTCACATTTCCATGTTTATTGGAGGCTGTGCAGCTGTATGTGGCACTTTTGTTAACGTTAATAATTTTCAGAGTATCTGAGGTTTCCAGTGCATCAATTCCATTAATGGTCCATTGGTACTTAGGAGGAGGAATCCCATCTGCTTCACAGGTCAGACTGACATCTTCACCCTCATTTACAATGATGTGTCTACTCTGGTTTGTCCTGAACTCAGGAGCATCTGAGGGAAAAAACACAGATCAAGACTTTGAATTTATTCATCTTTTGACAGAAAATGACCCTACATTAAATAATTTTTCACCGTAAATTTAAATTTTAAAATAAAACACTGTGAAAAGACAAGATGTTGACTCACAGAGAGCTGAGAGATTGAGTGTCTGGGAAACGACAGGATGTTGAGGTCCGTGCGGTCCTAGCTCCAGCTGAGCTTCACATCTAACCTCAACAGCATTCTCATCTCTGGTGACATTGACCACCAGCATGCTGGATGTGTTCACAGGAGTCTTGGTTGTCTCAGAATAGACCTGCACATCCAGGATTTCATCACTTCTGTACCACCTCACTGTAAGGTTTTGAGCAGGAGCAACATCACAGACGTAACACTGAAGTTTGTAATTTGTCTCCTCGCCCAAAGTTTTTGTCTCTGTTATAAAGAGATGGACCTCTGGGATTTCTGTTTGACAGAAAAAAATGTAAAACAGATGTTAGTTCATGTTTGTGTGTTGTATATGTTGTTTTGATCTTCCTACCCACTTGTCTGTATTCATTTGAAATCACACTTACGGTATAGAATTATGTCCAACTCTTTGCTGCATTCAAATGAGTTGTTTAGCTTTATTTTGCATTCTGACTTCATATCCCAGTCTGTCATCTTGGCAAAGCTGAAAGCGACATTGTCAAACTCTTCATTTTTGGTTAGAGTGTTTCCTAACATCAGGGTGATTTCTTCAAATTCTTCCTCCGTGGAGCAGTTTACATAGACGTGGTCTCCAAACTCGACCACAGGAGGGTCCACCACAATGAGAGGGTTGAGTGAGAGGGGGCACGTGTTCCCTGCATCTGTAGATATAGAATACCAATGCCATGAAGCACTTTGCTGCCCTCTGCTGATATGAAGTCCTGTCAAATGCACGATGAAATTATGCATCTGCGGCCTATCATGTTTGTAATTTTTAATGGAAACTTCACTTACAAGATATGCTTTAACCAAAATTTAAATAAATATCTGAATTGCAACACCTTTTTAAAGGTATATGAATAGAACGTAAATAAACTTGCATTAAAACATTATCGTCGGATCATTTCTCAAGTTCTAACCATGAGATTTGCATAAAACATACAAAACAGACAAGTTTGACACAGTTTCTTGTTATTTTCTCCATACAAATGTCTTTTAAATGCATTTTAAACTGGTGTGTATTTGTGTAAGCTCTGTGGTGTGCGGCATCAAGACTAGTTAAACTGCTGAGTTACTTTGAAATGACCTAAAGATCACCACCACACCCATGTTGTGCCGCCAGCCCAGTTTGCACATTCAGCTGTTAGCACAGAAGGGTTTTTTCCACAAACTTTACAACACCTGCCCCTCCCTATTAAACACCACTCATTTCATCCTGTTGGTCTGTAGGTTTCCTGTTGCCTGATGAAAAATTCTAGCAAATAATGTAAAGTTTTACGGAGCCTGGCAGTGGCAAAGATCAGGCAGGGACCCTACTCTGAGTTATGAGAAGTTTGTTTAGTAAACCGTGCCAGGGTATAAGTCCCCTGCATGTCCTGATGAGCCTCTGTTCACAGGAGACACAACAGTGCAAATTATCATAACTCAAAGCAATTCATCCACCTGACCCCCACCTCACTCCATGGACTCTTGTTATTTAAAACCAAAAAAAAGGTTGTGTCCTTTCATATCATCTGTTGATTTTATATTTTTCATTTTGACTTTTACTTTCACACATCCCATCATCTGTGTGGCGATGATCAAAAGAAAAGAAAATCGAGAAAGCACATCAAAACCAAACACTAAACATAAAGAGCTGACCGTTATGACTGAAGCTTGTTAGAGCATCGTTTTCACTCACCACACAGAGGCAAGCAGAGCAGGAGAAGGCCCAGCATCCTAAGAGGCAGCATGCTGCAGCAGCTGCAGGAGCTCGAGGATTCGTGTGATTTATCGTCTGCTTCTCTGACCGGGCGAGCCGACTCTTGGCTCAGAGTTGGCTGATGACCCGCTGATGACAGTTAAATGTGTGTAGGTAGAAAAAGAAAGCGGGCTCTAAGGGAAAATGCACGCCCTTGTGAACAGGAAACAGGAAACACTTTGTGGCGCAACTGTTGATGATGATCCCTCCCAATGAGTATTCTATGCAGCTGGTAATCATATTTTCTTCTTTAAAAACCTGAGTATATTTGTTACTTTAATTCAGTTTTATTGAAACATAAAAAGTGGGCAACAAAAAAAAGACAAAACTTGGTGTTCAACCTGTAATTAGTATTTACCTGTCTTCCTTTCAAGTTTAAACATTTTATTTATGATGCAGACACACAAAACATTTTGATCCACATGGCCCTTTGTGGTGTCCATGCCTGGGTTGATATGCTTCTTTCATGCATGCAGTGATGTAGCTATGTGGGTTTAATCATCATGGAAACTTTTTTCAGCGAGTAGGAGCCTCCGTGGAACTCTGCCCAGTACACCCCGTCCTGAAAGCGGCTTCGGTAGTGTCCGCCTCGATACCACACACCATTCAGATTAGAGTGGGCGCACATGTGGTACCACCAGCCTCCTTTCTGGTAGTGAGCACAGTTACCTGTTGGTGCAGCAAAGGAGAAGAAATGATTATGAACACACAAATGCTCCTCAGATGGGAGAGTTTTGGAGCAGGATCAGACCCGTGTAGCTGTCCTTGTCTCGATCCAGAGTTGTAAAGGCCTTGTTGTTGTGCCATGAGAAAGAGTCCCCAGCGTTGCCCTGGTATTGACCCAAACGCAGGCGGTACCAGTCGCTCTCCGGTTCCAGGTGGAAGCTGTCATACTCCGCAAACACTTGTCGACCCTGCCAGTCCTCCAGGGCCACGCGCAGCTTGTATTTGCTCTGCTTAGAGAGCCAGTAGAGGTGTTCCAGACCGAGCCAGTACTCCCCATTCAGGTTCCCAAAGCCTTGCTGGAACACACAAACACAATACTTTAATGTCTGCTAAATTTACTCAGTTTTTTGTCACTATAGCACAAATTTAGAAAATAAAATGTTTAACTGTCTCAAAGATGTTTAATTAGGTTTTAATGACAGCATCTTTTATAGTTGAAGACAAATGTTCATGGCCTCACTCATGCCCTTGCACTAACATCATGCTTCTCAAAAGAAATCACTGCAGTATATGGGCTTTAATGGAACACTTGGTTCACATTTGATTTATTTAAATAGCAAATAAGCACATTACACGAGCATTTACGACTGATGTGTAAATCAGCGACACAGCTTCATAAATCCACTGCAGCAGCTGATTAATATAACAATAATCACCCTCAGTGCAATTGCCAGGTTTTAAAGATGCATGACCTTGTACTGCTCCCATGTCCTGAAGAAGTTGACTGATCCATCCTGTCTCCTCTGGATGACAGTCCACCCTCCCTGCTCATGACTCTGCTCACACCAGGCCTGCAGGAGACGGTTGGTGTTTGCAGGGCGGATCAGATAGATCCCACTGGTAGTCTCTCCTGAGTCCAGAACATGCTGGCAATCCCGCCATGGTCCTGAGCCAAGGACACACACACAACTAACACATGCAGTAGTAGGTGAATGTGCTTCTATCTACAGGTGCTGGCCAGTAAATTAGAATATCATCAAAAGGTTGAAAATATTTCAGTAATTCCATTCAAAACGTGAAACTTGTACATTATATTCATGCAATGCACACAGACCAATGTATTTCCGATGTTTATTACGTTTAATTTTGATATTTATAGGTGACAACCAATGAAAACATCAAATCTGGTATCTCAGAAAATTAGAATATTCTAAAGGCCAATGAAAAAATGTTTGTTTCTCTAATGTTGGCCAACTGAAAAGAATGAACATGAAAAGAATGTGCATGTATAGCACTCAATACTTAGTCGGGGCTCCTTTTGCCTCAATAACTGCAGTAATGCGGCGTGGCATGGACTCGATCAGTCTGTGGCACTGCTCAGGTGTTATGAGAGCCCAGGTTGCTCTGATAGTCGTCTTCAGCTCCTCTGCATTGTTGGGTCTAGCGTATTGCATCCTCCGCTTCACAATACCCCATAGATTTTCTATGGGGTTAAGGTCAGGCGAGTTTGCTGGCCAATCAAGGACAGGGATACCATGGTCCTTGAACCAGGTGCTGGTGGTTTTGGCACTGTGTGCAGGTGCCAAGTCCTGTTGAAAGGTGAAGTCTGCATCCCCATAAAGTTGGTCAGCAGCAGGAAGCATGAAGTGCTCTAAAACTTCCTGGTAGACGGCTGCATTGACCCTGGACCTCAGGAAACAGAGTGGGCCAACACCGGCAGATGACATGGCACCCCACACCATCACTGACGGTGGAAACTTTACACTGGACCTCATGCAACGTGGATTCTGTGCTTCTCCGCTCTTCCTCCAGACTCTGGGTCCTTGATTTCCAAAGGAAATGCAGAACTTGCTTTCATCAGAAAACATAACTTTGGACCACTCAGCATCAGTCCAGTCCTTTTTGTCCTTGGCCCAGGCGAGACGCTTCTTGCGCTGTTTCTTGTTCAAGAGTGGCTTGACACACGGAATGCGACACCTGAATCCCATGTCTTTCACGAGTCTCCTCGTGGTGGTTCTTGAAGCGCTGACTCCAGCTGCAGTCCACTCTTTGTGGATCTCCCCCACATTTTTGAATGAGTTTGTCGTCACAATTCTCTGCAGGGTGCGGTTATCCCTAGAGCTTGTACACTTTTTTCTACCACATTTTTTCCGTCCCTTCGCCTGTCTGTTAATGTGCTTGGACACAGAGCTCTGCGAACAGCCAGCTTCTTTAGCAATCACCTTTTGTGTCTTGCCCTCCTTGTGCAAGGTGTCAATGATTGTCTTTTGGACAGCTGTTAAGTCAGAAGTCTTCCCCATGATTGTGGTGCCTTCAAAACAAGACTGAGGGACCTTTTAAAGGCCTTTGCAGGTGTTTTGAGTAAATCAGCTGATTAGAGTGGCAGCAGGTGTCTTCTATATTCAGCCTTTTCAGAATATTCTAATTTTTTGAGATACCAAATTTGGAGTTTTCATTAGTTGTCACTTATGAATATCAAATTTAAATGTAATGAACATTGGAAATACATTGGTCTGTGTGCATTGCATGAATATAATGTACAAGTTTCACGTTTTGAATGGAATTACTGAAATATTTTCAACCTTTTGATGATATTCTAATTTACTGGCCAGCACCTGTATAAATGTCTGACATTTTAAATATAATATAAATGTCAGAGGGGCTGTTTGGAGTTCGCAAAATAATTGTGATGTTAAACAGATCAAAGAAGCTCTGCGGCTTCAGTTTATCTAGTTGGAGAATCCTTTTTTTTTCTTTTGTTCCAGCTCATGTTGAGTGTCTCACACCACAGAGATAAGGTGGAAACAGGCATCAGCACTGACACAAATGTATACATAGCAGAGAATCTCCCATGAGGAGCGATAATGCCTAATAAGCTCCCATCGCAGGAGTTTTTACATAAGCTCAGTGTCGCAAGCAGCACTCTTTCATCAGTCATTTAGGAAGTGCTGAGTCACATCCAAGATGGTGTTGCTTCAGCTCTAACTGCTACACTTACAATTGTGTGAGTTTAAGTAACAACGTGTCAAGCAAATGTGCTGTTCGTTGTAAAGCTAAAGTTCTGAGCAGCTGACGTTGTTTAGGCATTCCCAAGAAGATAAGACTTTCACCCGTGGGTCAGTGACTCCATCAGCTTCTCTGCTGCTTATCTAAACAGCTAAATAACGCTGATACGGCTCTACACACAGCCTGTTACTGTGGAATGTGTGGGACTCTGGTGTACCTGGAGATTTTGTGGCAAGGAAGCTAACAAAAGGCGTTTCAGTCGGAGCTCTGGGGTGAGCTTCCTCTGGTTTTGTTTGCAGTGAGGTGGCACTTTGGTCCCTTTGAACATCGTTGGGCCCTTTGTTGACTTCAGAGCTGTAATTATGATGCTCTTTAGACCGGCTGTCTGTTGCTTCCGTCATCACCTGTTAAACCCAACACGAACAACACATCGATCTTAGTTCATGTGAACATGTTTAGCTTACATCGTAAAGAGCTTGTGTCCCACCAGAGAGGGCTTGCTGGAATCCTTGCACTGGCACTGCTTCTCCAGCCGGCTGATGAACTGATTCTGGGAGCTTATCGTGGAGGTGAGGGCTCCATATTTCTTCTCCAGTTCCCTGTAATTACTGGACACCTCTAATGCCTGGCGTGTCCCAAGCCCCCAGCAGGTGTAAAGTCGGTTTAATGATGAATAGGAAGTAGCTTTCTTTGTGGTTCTTTGCTCACCTGTGTTGTAGCATTTAGAAGGAGGTTCTCCACCCGTTGCTGCTCCAAAACCTGGTCCTTCTTGTGGATGACTTCCTGTAGCAGCTGGGCATAGAGCTGGGCAATGCGAGTATTCATGCTGTTGCTCTCCTTGCGCAGGGCTCTCACCTCCATAACAAGAGAGTCTTCCTGCTCCAGTTGGTGCTGGAGCTTCCTCAGCTGCTCCTGCTGCTGTTTGAGCTCTGCCTGCAGCTGCGCCACCTCAGAGCGGTTTGGCGAAGAGGAGTGTGTGTTCAAACAAAGAGCCCCAGTCAGTTTCTGCTGTGGAACAATGAAGGTGTAGGAGCAACGACTTGCTTTTGCATTAGGGGAGCGTGACGACTGCTTGTTTGTATCATGGGCTCCGACCATCTGACCTCTAGTGTCTTGTGTGTCCAGGCACCGTAAGAGTAAGAGTGTCAGAACTATCGTCAGCGTTTGATCCATGAATGCCCTGAACATCTGGGAGAATCCTGGTGGTGGATTAGGAAACATCATCATCACGAAACATGAAACACTCCACTGACTTTACTCCAAACGTTGGCAACAAATATTTTTGAACTAAAATGAATGTTTGTGGTTTAGTTGTGGTTTTCACCGATCTTTCTTTAGAAGTTCAACTGCACACACACACACACACACACACACACGGCTGAAACTTAGCATGTCAATACTAAAAAGACACTCAAACAAGAAGAATAAACACACCACCAGCACCTGATCAACACCGCAGTCAGACCCACAGCTCCATGAACAAAGCTGATTGGTTATCGGTGATATCCAACTTTAATATTCCTTTTTACAAGTAAAATCTGTTTTACTCAGTTTGTGTAAAATAAGATCTGAACAATATATAAGTTAAACGTTTAAACAGGTAAACGCTTATTTGGTTGCTTGAAAAATATAAAAAATGCATGAACTTACTGTCGCAGACGTCTCTCTTCTGTTTTTCAATGGGCAGCAGCAGCTAACAGCACTTCATTTTTGCATTTTTCCCACACATTTACAGGTTTGAAGAAACTGGGAAACTTTCCCCAAATTAAAAGCTCTAAGTTGTCCACAAATTGAATCTGAAGGCAAATCAGTTTGCGTCAGAGAGAAGACCGGGTTAGTTAGGAGCTGATCTGTTGAGTTTCTGTCTCAGGATCCCACAAAAGGGACAACTAATAACAAACTATCCCAGAGATGCCGCCTCCCAGTACTTGTTAAGCTCAGTGCAGGAATCTGGATGTCTCCTCCCTCTGCCATCAACCTGTGACCCTGCAAAAAAAATGAATAAATAAGTAAGCCAGTGGTGTGCCAAAGATTTATTTCTATCATTTTCTTTAACCAGATGTCCTGGATGACCAGTTAAGTTAGGACGCTCTGCAACAGGTTAGGCAACAAAGATCTGCACAGCGCTTCCAGAGCCAACATTTATAGTTAATTGTTTTTTCATAATCCCAGATCACTACCAGACCACCACCTACCACGTTTATTAAAAATGTATAGTTTATTTTAATGCTATTTTAAATGCTTTGTGGTTTATTGTGTGTGTTTTTGTGAAGCACTTTGTAACGCTGGTCATCAATGGTTGCTGGTTTCTCTTAAAGGGGAAGTAACTGGAAATGCTGAATTGGTTGCATTTGTGTTTGTGTTCCTTATTGAACATGTTTGGAGTTTGAAGAGGGATTGTAGTAAACTTTTACAATTATTACCCCACACTTCGACACAATCTCTGTCTCACCGCTGCATCTTTCCGATCATTACTTCATCCATTTCAACCCGACTCTACAAGGGAGGTCCACTGCTTCCTCCCCAATGGTCTCATTCCGCCGCAACCTCCGCAATCTGGCACCCAACCACTTCTCTCTTGTTGCCTCCACTCTTGCATCTCCCAGCACATTTTCTGCTTATGAAGTGAATGATGCCACCGAGTCACTCTGCTCTACACTCTAGTCTTGTCTTAACAACTTGTGCCCTTTAGCCACTAGACCTGCTAGATCCTCTCAGTCGCACCCTTGGCTAAATGACACCCTCCAGTCTCCACGTACCAATTTTAGAGCTGCGGGACGGAAATGGCGCAAAACAAAAGATCCTGGTGATCAATTGAAATTTCCTGAATTACTGTCCTCATTCTCTGCCAGTATCACTGATGCAAAGAAAGCTTTCTACACTGACAAATTTCTCAGCTCTACTGACTCTCAGAAACTATTTTCGACATTCAAAACTCTGCTCGCCCCTCCCAACAATATATCAGCTGACACCTTTGCCTCATTCTTCACTGACAAAGTGGCAGCTATGAGCAAACAGTTTACTCAACTGGCCACTCCTGAACATTCGCTACCACAAAGTCCTTCTAGCCCAGCCATCTCAAGCCCTACTGCTTCATTTTCCTCTTTTTCCCCTCTCACTGAGAACTGTGTGTCCAAGCTTCTCACGTGCAGCCGCCCTACTACATGCCCACTCTACCCCATTCCGAGTAAGCTGCTCCAAGCTATTGCTCCTACAGTAGCCGCAGCAGTCATACATGTGATCAACGCTTCAATGACATCCGGTACATTTCCCACCTCTCTCAAGCATGCTCAGGTTAAACCGCTGCTAAAAAAAAACCATCTCTTCCTCCAAATCATGTGGAGAACTACCGACCTCTCTCTCTCCTCCCTTTTTGTCACGAGACGAGCCAGGAGGAGGTTAGGACCCAAAATGCAGAACCCAGGACGACACGAGGCAGGAGTGGAGACAAAGTAAAATCCTTTTATTTAGGATGAACAAGACGAAAATAAATCCAAAGGGCTGGAAGCCAGAATCCAAAATATCCAAAAACTGAACTGGAGATCCAAGAGAAACACTAGAGACTCAAGAAGTACAGGAAAAACTAGAGATCCAAAACGAGACGAGAGCTGACAGAAAACAATGGACCGACAAACATACGGAGACACAGACAGGGCTATATACACTGGGGAGGATGAGAGAGAGATGAACTGCAGGTGTGTGGGGAGAGAGAGAACAGGTGAACTCAATTACTAATCAGGAAGAGGGCAGTGAGTTGAGGAGAAAGAAAAATAACATGATCTAAGACAGAACCTAAAAACAAGAAGAGCCAAATAACTAACAATCTGGGGAAAGAAACACACTAAAAGCAAAATAATTAACAAATAATCTGGGGAGAGAAACACACCAAAAGAGACTAATAGATGAACAGCAGAAACTAAAGGAAAACACTACAGAAAGAGACACTACAGGTGCGTGACTAAGGAGGACCACGGGGAGCACAGGACCTGGAGGGAGATACCTGGGGGGGGGGGGGGGGGGGGGACTAGAGGGGCTGCAGCTCTGGGAACACATGAGGAAGGCGTAGACAATGACACAAGAGGGCGCTAGGATACACAACAGGAGAACCTAGAGATGGATGGGGAACACCAGGAGACACATGAGGGAAGGGGCAGACGCAGATCATGACACTTTTCTGTCCAAAATCATTGAAAGGGTGGCTTTCAAGCAGATCACAGAACCTCTCACAAAACTGTCTACTTGACCCTTACCAAGCTGGGTTCAAAAAGGGCCACTCCACTGAATCCTTAAAAGAAGCTAGAGCGACTGCCAAATCCTCAGTGCTTATCCTGCTCGACTTATCGGCTGCATTTGACGCTGTCAACCATGGCTTCCTTTTGTCCGCACTCTCTAGCATGGCCATCACAGAGAAAGCACACGCCTGGTTTGAATTGTGCCTCACAGGACGATCATTCAGCTTATCTTGGCTTGGACAATCCTCTACCGTGCACCATCTTTTTTTTTTTTTTTTTTTTTTTTTTTTTTTTTTTAAACGTGTCCTGTCTGGCTGTGAAGCAAGCAGAATTGATGTCTGAATGCTGGTAACAAGCCTTACAGTTTTACTCTCAGGTGGAGCATCAGAGCATCTGCTTTTAATGTCTCAGGTGGAGCATCAAAGAGTCTGCTTTTAATGTCGCACCTGATATTTAAAACTTTATTGTTATTGTTTTTGAATGCTTTGTAATTTCGACCAGACACGGAGACAGAGGTGAAAGAGAAAGGAAAAGAGAAAAGGTGGGGAGAGAGGGGGTTAGGTGGGGGGGGGATTCAACAAAAATAAACAATAATGAACAAGAGTCTGCTTCTAGACCTGCAAAATGAGACGAGAAAAAAGCAAAACATAACAAAAAAATGGGACACAACACCAATATAACAAAATCAAGCTATCACTGCGTCAACTTGATGAAGAAATATATAATCAATCATTGTTTAACTAAACAGTCACACGATAATATACCACAGTGCATTGAGTGCCCACCATAGTCTTAAGACATGTGTTGAACGTGCCCAAGCCCATACTTATGAGAGCACCATGTGAGCACCTGTGTGTGTACACGCGCTTGTTTATGTAAGGTTTATCTATAGGAGCGTCCAATAGAGAGTGTGAGGGACCACAGATCTGCCCCCCAAAGACGCGTAGGAGACGGGGGGGAGCTCCAAGTCCCAGAGATCCAGGCGCTGCCCCAGAACACAGGAACCCCAAGGAGCCCGCAACCAGAAAGGCCCCCGCCCCCCTCGAGAGGCACAGAGGATCGCCCCGGGGGGCCACAACCAGCAGCCGGCAGAGCCCCGGGAGATATCAGCGGCAAGTCCTCAGGCCTGCCCGGAGCCTCCCACCCCCTAGCCGGCCGAGTCCGGGACCCAGCGACCCGGGACCCAGGGGCGACCACCCCCGCCGGGGACCCAGCAGAGCCCAGGGACCCAGACCCCCCCAGGCCGCCACCGGGATTGATCAGGCAGATGCCAAAAATCTTAAACTCCCTGACCCGGGAGCCACGAACACTCAGGCAGACCAAGGCATCACACCCACACCAGGTGTGACAGGGGGGAGGGGAGACGAAGATCTATATCATCAAAGGAGGTCCCAGGAGAAGGGAGGAGTCAAAGGCCCCACCTGACATATACAGTCATACACAAACACAGTCACACACTCCCTCCCTCATGCTCACACATGCACATACAACCAAAGACTTACAAAAATACACGCCGGACACTCATTCATGCTCCCCATACACACCCTATTCACTCTGGTCCCGGTAATGCTGCACATGGGGTACAACCACCACCGGTTACCAGAGTTTGACCCTTTCTGCTGGGGTGCCGATGAGCAGGCTCCCCCGCCCACCGCCGAGCACAGCAACCCACCACCCCAGACCCCAACCAGACGGCCAGATCTCCCTCCTAGTCTCCAGCCCCAGGCAGCCAAGCAACAACAGAGGTGTGCTAAGACCCCCTGGTCTCCCTCCACCTGCTCCAACATAGTGTTGTGGGTTAATGAGGTGTATTCTATTGCTGTGGTGAGCGGGCAGTGCGGGCATTTTCTGGCCTATGCCAGCTGATGCCACTGCACCACCCTACTTGCACCCACAGCCCTTGGTGTCTAAATGCAGTTTAAAATTCGAAGTGGGCACCGGCACTCGGGAGGAGGCTGAGAACTCCCCCTGCCAAGTGCCGTTGAATGTGCTCACTCCCAAGGCCCTAAGTGTATGTTTGCGTGGAATGTCGTCGGTGGAAGTGCATAAGGTGCAAATAAAATTGGGGGGCAGGAAGCCACAGGAATGCGGAAATGGGGTCCATACCCGCACTCCTCGACCTGTCCACCCCCCAAGGTCCTATGTGCATGTTTGTGTGATGATGTGAGGGAGCAGGAGGAGAGAAATAAACGGGGATGGGGAGGAATGGCTGGTAGGGCTTAGCCCTCCAGGGAGCCAGCTCCCCCACTGACCCCAATAGGCACCTCCGTTGTCATACCGCTGCCCAGGGCATGGAGACCCCAGCCCATCCTGCCAGGGCCCAAAGCAGCAGCATCACAGAGCCCCACAGAGCCCGAGGGAGCCGACCCAGCCCCACCCCAGCAGAATATCTATGCCCATCCCTGCATTTGCACAACTTCCAGAATATATAAGACATAAGACATCCAGGTAAGGTTGGGTCCTCCCCCTCCTGGACCTCCCCCTCCCCTGTGATGGGACAACAGAGGAGCCAGGGCCTGCCCTACGCCCCCGAACCCGGGCCAGGTACTTCTGCGTATTCCTGCCTTCTTCCCGGCAGCGTACATGTAGGGACCCGACCCCCAAGGCCCAGCCCAGATCCCCACACGGGGCCGGCCACCCCAACACCCCGAGCCCCCAGGCCCCCACCCAGACCCACCCA